TATGTAGGGTGGCCCAAAATTAATGTATGGTGGCCAATGCTCATGAGGATCCGTCACTCTGAGCTGCTTCAGACAAACACAAACACAAACAAACAAATAAATCCTCCCTCTGTTCTTCTCCACGGTGCATCTCGTACCCACTGGAATATCTTGCACCAAAACATTAAGGTTTACTTTCATTCCCTGTTCAGTTCCAGTCCAGAAAAACACTTATCTGAAAATGATAGCATCTCAAGCATTGTTAAGCCTTTATTTAATAAATTATGCAATCCTTACATTCTCTAGAGTTTCAACAACTTTATAATGATTAAACCTTTTTAATTAAGGTGAAAAAACAGAAAATAAACTCCTTGTGCTCTTGAAAAGATGTGGTCCTGTCCTGCGTTAACAATAAAATACAATCATCTACTAATGAGATCAGTATAAAAGCTGATGCATGTTGTTCAGAAATGTTTTGTGTCATTTTATCCAGTCTTGTTGTCTTGTCCTGGGTCATATCTGAGTCCAGACTTCTTATCAGAACTTCTGCAGTCATTATCTCCACTCAGCTGAAGTTAAAAGCTTATGTTCAGTCATTGAGACTTGATTGTTTGTTTTACTGAGTTCATTCAGAGTATCTGTAGTGTTTGTTATCTCTGCACATGCCTGAGTGCATGGCCAAAATATACAGTTCAATAAAACACACACACACACAGTGCACAGTCAGCACCAATCTGTGTGTTCGTGCTTGTAAATGAGCTGGCAGGCTGGCTGACCCGCATGTGACCCTGACATCCTGATGAACTCTGGAGTGCAGCCAAGTTCACCGCTCAGAAGAGAGACCAACGAGTCTTGAGACAACGGATATGTCTGCTTAACTAAACAAAGAAACGAAAGGCCTAGGGGTCCTTGAAGTTTTAAAGGAAGATCATCTTGTGAGTTATAGGTTCTGGTCAAACCTAGAAAGCAACATCATTTGTAATCTCATGTCGTCTGTTAGCATGATCAGAATCAGCTTTATTGTCATTGCACAGAAGCACAACGGAATTTAATTTCAGTACGGCCCATCCAAAGAAACACAAACAACCAAACAACATAAGTGGGCAGGTGTGGCTGAGTGGTTAGAGCAGTCGTCCTCCAATGCAAGAGTTGGGGGTTCGATTCCACCAGCAGTCACATGCTGAAGTGTCCCTGGGCAAGACACTGAACCCCTCATTGCCTCTGATGTGTCCCATCAGTGTATGAATGTGATAAAACTCTGATTAGTCTCTTTAGAATGAGTTGTTCAATTATCTTTGTAGAGATCTAGTATAGAGCTGTATGAATGGTAAATGAGGCACAGATTGTTGTAAAGAGCTTTGAGTATCTTGATAAGATAGAAAGGAGCTATATAAGTACAGTCCATTTACCATTTACATAAGACATGGGTAGACAGGGTGTTTGAGGCTGCAGCCTCACGAGAGGCGCTGCCTTTTTGTTAGATACAGAAAAAGGAACACGAAGAAAGAGGAGATAGAAAAATAATCATATCTCACAGTGTATCTCTAACAGGACACAGTGTGAGGCTGCAAATAAACCTCAGCAAAAAATAGCAACATACAGATGACATAATAAGACATATGCATGTGGAGTGGGTGAGGGTGAAGTGTGTGTGTGCGCGTGTGTGTGTGTGTGGGGGGGGGGGCACTCCCAGCACAGGCTGCCCAAGAGAGCATTGCAGCCACCTGTCACCTTGCATCCAGCCTAGGTTACTGCACCAGGGGAGGCAAAAGGACGGAGGCCAGTAAAGGTGGTGAGTTGAGGAGAGTGTGTTTATAGCTGTGCAAGTGAGTGTATGCGTGTGTCCGTTTGTAAGTAAGTCCATGAATTTGAATTGAATTGTATGTTGATGACATCTGGGTTAAAATTAAATCTCAGGAAGTCTAGCATTTCACTGACCACATCAACTCTGTGGATATACAGAGTTCATCAAGTTCACATGAGAAGATGTAAAAAATGGCAGGTTGTTTTTTTTTTTTTTTGGACTGTGAGGTCTCAGTCTCTGATGGAGGACATTTGCAAACTGATGTGTACTACAAACCCACCCACACAGACCAGTTCTTGAGGTTTGACTCCCATAATTGGGCGGCTGTGGCTGAATGGTTAAAGCAGTCGTCCTCCAACGCAAGAGTTGGGGGTTCGAACCCCACAGCAGTCACATGCCGAAGTGTCCCTGGGCAAGACACTGAACCACTCATTGCCTCCGATGTGTGTCCCATCGGTGTCTGAATGTGATAAATCACTGATTAGTCTCTTTAGAATGAGTTGTTCAATTAGCTTTGTAGAGATCTAGTAGAGTGCTGTGAATGGGTAAATGAGACACAGATTGTTGTAAAGAGCTTTGAGTATCTCAATAAGATAGAAAGGCGCTATATAAGTACAGTCCATTTACCATAATCCTCTGGACCGGAGCACAAGTTAGGAGTCATCAGGACTCTGTACCACAGAGCAGACAGCGTCCCCACTAACTCAGGAGCCAGGCAGAAGGAGAAATCCCACACAAAACAGGCTCTAGAGCAATGTGGATATCCTAACTGGGCCTTCCTGAAAGCAGAGAAGAAACCCAAACAGGACTCCAGTCAGCCATCAGGTGAAAAGGAGGAACCCAGACCCAGACCAGTGGTCATTCCATATGTTGAGGGAGTATCAGAGAAACTGAGACGTTTATTTTCTAAACATAACGTCCCAGTGGCTTTTAAACCCCAAAATACATTACGGCAAAGACTGGTTCATCCAGATCCAGTCCCCCGGCACAAACAGAGTAATATTGTGTATGTTGTTCAGTGTCAGGAGGGTGATCAGTCTTACATCGGGGAAACTGAACAGCCACTGGCCAAAAGGATGGACCAGCACAGAAGATCGACATCATCAGGCCAGGACTCTGCGGTCTACACTCATCTCCAGGCCAGCGGTCACTCTTTCAGGGATGAAGATGTGCACATCCTGGACAGAAAGGAACAATGGTTTGAGAGAGGAGTAAAGGAGGCCATCTTTGTGAAAAGAAATCGTCCATCATTAAACAGGGGTGGAGGCCTCCGGGTTCAACTGTTCCCCTCTTACAATGCTGTGATTGCTAGTATCACTCAACCTACTGTGAATAGTAAACAGCCATCAGTGTGCTAATGATCCATTGTTAGGCTGATGGTCCTTCTTGAGCATGTGAGCAGCTGGTTTTGGTTGTCAGCAGCAAAACTGGTTGATCCACTCTGTGAAGGTGCTATTTAAGAGACTAAGCTGAATACAGCACCTCAGACTGAGGAAGTCTCTCGTGTTTTGCTTTGTTTTGTTTTTTGAATGTCCAGAGTACCCGTATTCTTTTTTAGATAATATAACAATATTTGGATATTTTGTGTTGTCCTAACAACATTATTTTCGTGGTTACTTTTTATTGTTGCTCATCCCACATTGCTTGCAGTGCTACTATTTAATGAAAATAATCCATCTTTGCTCATGTATTAACCTTGTTTTGTGGAAATTCACCCAAACTAGTGTTATCTTCTCTTTACCCTGATGACCTACGACTGTGTTGCCAGGTCTGAGACCAAACACATCATCAAGTATCAAGTATGATTATGTTCAGTCTGAAACACGTCCCTCTTGTAAATGAGTCCTCGTGGCTCAATGAGGCTAGTCTATATAAATAAAGGTTGAATGAAACAAAAGTATGTGGCCGATGCCACGGTCGTGGGCCTGATAAGCAACAACAAGGATCAGGCATATCAGCAAGAAAAAACAAATAAATTAAAAAAATAAATTAAAATTTTTTAAATGTATACTAGTATATACTATCAAATAAATTGGTATGGTATGGTATGGTATCATACCCTCTTAATAGCATTTCTGAATGACTTTGCTTCAAAAATTCAGAAAAACATCTGGCTATAAAGTTAATACCAAAAGTTCATGCTCAGAAATCCAGGTAAAACTCCAAAAATGTTCAATCAGGTCATCTGGACGGTTTCTTTATTTTGCTGAGACG